TTAACCTCTCTTTGGATTCAGAATTAATTAAATATTATACGTATCGGCTCCCATTAAAAAAATTGCTTATGATAGTCTTCCCTGGTGACTTTGAGGAAATGGATGGAAGTAAGAGACATTAAAGAGGAACTAAAAATCCAGGTTTCCACCCTACTGAGGTTTTAAGAATGCAAATATATGACGAGATACAACCCCGCTATCTTTAGTTTTAGTTAAAGCGCCCAAAAGTGAATATACGTTTTTTTTTTAATGTAAATAATTTTGGATTTTTCTCCATCTCTGTTAAACCTTTAAAAAGAATGAAAGGAATGGATTAAGTTCTCGCTGCCAGTAAAGGTCACACTAATAAATTATGTACGTTCTCAGAACCAATGCGCTAAATGCGGTGAAAATTATGATATTAAACGTTCCTGAAAAAAAAAAGCCGAGAAACCCTCATTTGCTAACTGCAAGGGTGTACATCCTTTTAGATCGTGGTTGCCTTCATAACCTAAAAATGCACCTTTTAAGAAAAACCTAGTAAATGCCGGTCGTTTACTTCAAATACAGGACAATTTAGTTACACCGAGCCAAACTTACGCTCAGGGGGCTCTGCAGACACCGTGCACAATTCCTACTAACTATGAGATTATAATAAAATAAATTGTTAACTATAAAACGGAAGCCCTCGGCACCCAAACTCCATAATTGATAAGCGACTTATTTTAAAAATTAAACAATCGACAATGACTGAAAAAAATGATATAAAACTTTTTAATACTTATCGGAAACGCTAACAGGGTCTGGGTCTAAATTTTGCACTGATACCTGAAACCCACCTGAATAGTGCCTTTACATCTTTAATTACACCACTTATCGAAAAGACTGTTGTCATTTGGGGGGAGTGGGTGTAGCTATTCTTATAGAAAAAGATCTTAGACGTTCCTTTTTGAAATATTTTGAGCTACAGAGTATTGAAGCAACTGGTTTTTGGACTAAAATTAGGTATGCTAGTACTGTAAACATTTTAACTACTTATAAACCTCCGAATTAGAATTTGAAATGTAACAGATTTGGCCGAGTTATTAGACGATGCCAATTCAGTCATTGTTTGTGAGGATGAAACTGTTAACATTTCTACAGAACAGAAGAGTTGATAATTTTAAACGTTAAAGAACTAGAACCGTGGACGAAAGAAAGTGCTGTACCAGTATTAACTCCTAATAAACCTACAACCTATTAACTCGAGGCTCGGTGGATACTAGATACAGTCCTTAAAAAAAATCTACTCTACGGATTGCCATCTGTCCATGGCTTTGTCCTGCTGAAAGTGGGTAATGATTTTTTTAGCATAACCAAGAAAAAAAATAAAATTTATGAAAATTACTTAATGAGAACTTTTTTAAATATCTGTAAGCGTCACCCTACCACTTTTTCCCTATTCATGTTATTGGGAAGTAAAGGGCTCTTCTGCCCTTAAAGTTAAATCTTTAAAGTAAGCAAACACCTATAAAAACTTTAAGCTTATTAATCCTCTTCATACCAAAAAACTTATTGTTAAAAAACGCCGCATAAAGAGACAATACATGGAAAAGCAGCCCCCCAAGGGTATTTTGGCCTTAAAAAATATTAGTAACATTGTTAAACAAGAATTGAGAGCTTTTCAAAACATAATATAAAGGAGTCAACTACAATCCTTAACTCTCATCGATAACAACGGCAAATGACAAATGAGTGCAAATTTGGAAATTAAAGGGTTGAGGTTTCCCTAATTAGAAAAGGGTAAGCTACCTATGCAAACTTCAAAAAAGCTAAATTCTTTAATGAAATTTAACACCAACAATTTACGACACCGTTATCTGCAAAAAGTGAACAAAAATCATATTTCACTTTTTTGCTGCTGTAGAGGCTCATTACTCACTTTGGAAACCCTTACGATTAAAGATGAGATACAATCTATAATCAACAAACATAACACTAGAAAGGGTGTGGGTCCTAATAAAATTACAGTTAAATGCTTAAAATTTTTCCTATAAGTTTTTTATACCAAAGACATTTCGTCCAAGTAGCTAAGCTAAAGTTTTTAGTCTTTTTAGCCAACTTTTCTGCTTCGCAGAGATTGTGCTTCTTTTTAGGTTCTCGTGCTCTTTCCTTTTTTATCGTTGATGTTGTGATCAATGTAACAGATGTTGCATACGTAATTTACCGATAGAAGATGTGAGTTGTCACCGAAGCTTAATGGTTAGAGTATTTCTTTAGATATATAGAAAGCTTTCGGCGAGGATAGCATTTAAGGGTCTTCTTATCCATGTATTGATCAAATTTGCAAGTCATACCTCAGCAAGAGATCGTTCATGGCCCTTGTAGACACAGAACTATAAGATTTCAAACTACTCAACTCTGGGACCCTTTTTTCTTCCTATTTATTCTCAGTATACATGTCCTTCCCTACCGCTCAAACTTTCTTGGCGTTGTATACAGCAGCTCAGAATCTCCGCCTTTTGCAAGGAAAAAAAGTAATCCTACCTTAACTTAGTTGAAGATTAATTAACAACGTGAAAAGTATTATAAATGGCGAAAGTAAATGTAAATCCACTTTGCACAACTAAATAGACTCACTAGGCGCACCATACCCAAGTGTACAACAAACGAAGAATAAGAAAAACTGCAAAAGGTGCGCGAGCCAAACTTATACAATCACCCCTGAACTGTCTTTGTACACCACCCTCATATTATAAAAAATTATAAAAACTTAGGATAGCGTACTGGTTTTTCCACAGCCGTTACTATAGAAAGAAAGAGCGTAACGCCAGTGTATCAGCAAAACCATAATACAAAAAGGTACTAATACAAAGCACTAACATCACTACAGAAAAAGTGACCCTGAAAAAGCCTTTTATACAGGAGCCCGCTGTTACTAACCGAATTGAAGTCGCTACTTCCAATAAAAAGGCCTTGTACAATCAAAAAAGATGTCGATAACAGATAATATATACATAAGTTGATTTACAATAAAGTGACAGAAACAGAACAGAATAAATTTTTATAAAAGAACGGAGAAAAAGGACAAGGGGCTATACCCGTTTGTAAAGAGAATAAACGAAACTTGAGCTCTCTTATAGCTGACAAGTGCATATATACTCGTGAACAAAGGTCAAAAATTGTTAAGCGGACTAAAGAGGTTAGAAATAGAAGTCTAGGACTGAGTATTACTCCGCGGTCCTTTAACCTTCAGCACAATTTCGAAGACACTTAAATTTTTTAAAGTTTATCCTTCTTAACTTGTTTTTAGGCATAATTTTTTACTTAAAAAAAGTTATGTGATATTAAATTATAAAACTGAACTAGAAAAATGGTTAATTTTCAAACAATTAAACTCGAAAATAATTTCTATATAACCTAGAGAATACGAGGCTATTAAAGTGAGAGCCACTAAAAGCTATTAAGCGTACTAAACTACCTTACCCGTATTCCTTTAAGCAAATTTTCATAATTATTTGCATAATTTTTGGTTCTTGCAAAGCAAAGGTCCCATATGATCTATTATATTAGTGGCACTACGAATATCAATATCATAATTCACAATTCTTAAATTTTTACGTTGTATGTCTGCAGGTGGTATATCTTTTTTATTATGCACAATTTAGAAAAGGGCAAATTGTAAACATTTGTGGCTAAAATTCAGCTGCGTTCTTACCCCACTTAGTAACGATACTGTCAAAGGTAACTTTCGATTCAGCAGCACATACTGAAAAGTGATTGAGCGATCCCTCTTATCTACTGTACATATATATAGAATAGCCAAATTATGTGGGTATATTTATTTGTCCATCGCGCGGTTTATCTAAGGTTCTACGACTCATTTTTCATTAATAATTATTGTAAACTGCCAATATTAATTTTTTGAACTTTATTTATTATAGCGGTTAAATTTGGATATAAATGCTTACTTTAAAGATTAATTTTTTAAGTCCTATAAATAAATCCTTTTTATATCTATACAATTATTATACAATATTTTTTTCTTGTATAAGTTTCTCTAGGAGGTACTAGAAGTACGGGTATTCACGTGTTCCGCATTTAAGTGTGCTAATTTTCGTTATTTTACTTTTTCCGTAAAAATAGAAGTTAATAAATTAAGATTATTAAAGGAAGGTTAAGGAGACCTACCGGTAATCATTATGTCCTTTACATACATGGGCCTACTAATTTTATAACAAAAATCAAAAGTTTGGTCCACTTTTATAACATTTGACTGGTTTTTGATACTTGGAAGAGGTAGCATATAATACTGTCAACAAAACTGTGTTCCTTAGCCTTAAATAGGCTAATAATATTGTGTGAAGTGTGAAAATAGTATACTACCAGCATTTACTGTCTAAGATTTATTATTGAAAAGTATTAGGAAAAAACCCTTATTAAAAGTTAATACTTTATATATTAGAGCCGAAGTCTATTAGGTGCAAGTCAAAGAAAATAAATATTTGCAATGTTTTTAGTTTTTCTTATATAAAAAGGCTTATATCTATGTTTTTCTTAGATCATGTATTTATTATTACAAAGAAACATCCTAAGTTGCCACATTAAGAATAAGCAACAGATAGGCGACTTTGTTCTATATAGCTTAATAGCCTTTGAGAGTTGCAAAAAATTAACTATGTAGTATATATGTTTTTTATTTTATAAAATCCAAATACTAACTTATTTATGCATAACTAAAAGAATTATTTATACTGCCGTAAATACTTGCAACCGATAATAAAAAAGCATACCGCCCGAAATCAAAGTTTTCTTTAAAATATGTTATTTAGTCGCTCATAAAGAATTGTTAATGCTCTTTTACATAGTGCAGCACTTACTCTATTTTTTTTTATAAAAAGGCGAGATCAGCTCTACTGTCATACTAATTCTGGAAGCTAAATAGTAAATTGGTTTTGTATTTTGCAGGGCTGAGGGCTCTCGAAGCGTGCAAATATTGTGGCTACATCGCTCTAACACATCTCTCTGTTTTGTGTAGTTTAGTTCCACTGTTACTACTACTGTTTGTTTATGTCGGCTCCACGGTTTGCTGGAGTTCCCAGGCGTGTACATGAGGATCTTTACAAACTAATTATCGGGTTTGCTCTAGATAATAACTGTCATTTTCTTTTTTATAACTTTTCATAACTTTTAATTTAAGGCAACTTCGTTTAGATGGGCACGAGCCTGTTGCCCAAATGTTACAGCATGCAACTGGACTCATCGCCTACCCGTCTCAGGTTTTACTTCTCTTGATCCTCACAGGAAGTTTTTTAAAATTTATTTGAATATAACTTGAAACACCATAGCGCCTAGAATCCTTGGTTTCACCCTCGTTGAGTAAAGAAATTCAAAAGTTACAAGCTTACAATCAGATTGAAGATGACGAAAAGTTGGATTTCGAGGTGGAAGCTGGTAAAGAGGTTTATTTGCCGACATATACACCATTTTGCCCGATTTTTAATATTAAAGGTCCAAAAACAAAAAGTAGCTATAAACCAATTTTTTTTACTTCGCATAAAGGACCTTGTTACACTGCTGTTTTCAGTCATGATGGTATATTTATTTAAAAACAATTATTTTTGCATGTTTGTGTAAAAGGCTCTAAAGGACTTCGGTTTTTTTATCTCAAATGTTTCGTTTTTACTTTGTTGTAAAGCAATACAATTTATTAAAGGTAAATACGCTGCTACGGGCTCTGCAGACACCTCCGTCAAACTTTTAGATGTGGAAATGATGGTGGCGAAGCGGGAAACCAAAGAAACGGCTAATCCCTGCCGCCACACGCTTAAGGAACACAAGCAGGTAACTTCTATCAGTACTAATTTTTATCTTTGCTTATATATCTGCGGGACAGCCCGTGACCACCGTTGCGTTTGATTTCAGTGACACAAAGCTAGTTACCGGCTCTCAAGATGGGACTATAAAGTTTTTTGATCTATCCAAACTTGGTCCAAATCTCGTGTTCTGTAGTTTGCTTGTTTGTTTTCTATAAGTTTTGTTTTTTAGGAAGAGCTAGGCAGCGCTCGGTGTGTACTATATCGGTAAAGTTATACTCTTTTACTCTTTTAAGGATGAGTACAGACATATACAGCTTCAGAGCAACTAAGAAAAGAGACTAACTTATATATCATGCCATTGTGCTTATTCGTTAGGATTCTCATGTTATTCACAGCATCGATTATCATCCATCCAGTCAGTACCTTCTGGTAGGCACCAGCAATCCCGTTGTCCGGCTGTATGACGTCGCCACGCAGACGTGCTTCGCCAGTGCCAACGAACTGGAATACCACTCCGCGTCTGTAAACCACGTGGGCCTTTTCGTACTACTCACACTGAACACCTCCGAACGCCTATATATGTGCTAAGGTCGCCTTCAGCTGTGACGGGAAAGTCTACGCCAGCGCGAGCTCGGACGGATCGATTAAACTTTGGGACGGCGTAAGGTTCGTGAGTCTGCTCAGCTTTCCCTCTTATTCTCTCTTACTCTTTACGCAGTTCTCGTTGTGTTGCCACTTTCTCTGAAGCGCACGGCCAGAGCAGCGTATGCTTTACTACTTTACCCTGCAACGGACGTGTGTTGGTAGTGCGTACAGGTCGACTGTGTTAGAATATCCCGTAACTTCAAGTATCTTCTTTCCTGCGGGAGAGACAATATTATCAGACTGTGGGATCTCGCGATGGGTTGCCTATGTGACGCCACGCTGGCTTTATACATTAAAGTCTCGGGTCGCCAGGGCAAGTCCTTATTGCGTATGAGGGAGGGAGCCACGCTAAGTATGGACTGAAAGCCTCTTTCAGTCATAACGAAGTGCCACTTTTTATAGTTTCTATTCGCCTCCACTGATTCGCTGGTCAAGAGATTCGTGTTGGGTGCCAATGATGGCAGCAACACTGCTGTGGCCTGGGACACAAGGACGGGCGAGATGGAACAGGGACTGGTCCAACCGTCTATTCCCGGTCGATTTATCTTTCCACTCTCCCTCGCAAGGGCTCATCTCGTCTGTGTTAGGCCATGCCGCTCCTATCCGCGAGATTGCGACGAGCCCTAATGTTTCTGGTCTCCATTCCCCACTCCCCTGTAATTTGCTGGAGTTCTTCGTTTTATGCCATCGTTGTTCAGGGTTCCTGACCGCCACCGAGGACAAAACTGCGAGGTATTGGCACTACTCGTGAAAAGGATTCTATAGGAAGCAGCTCTTTTAAGCAATTTACGCCTTATTTCTTTTAACTGTCGCCCCCATGAATATAAAAGTTTTCCGTTATCGCATCTAACAAGCACTTTTATATCGTCTGTACTTTTTTCGCACTCCCTCGTTCCTGGGTGAAGCAATATAAAAGTTTCTAACGCAGAAAGTAGGGACTGCTTACGCTTCAGAGCGAAGTTTTCTGCATATAGTACAAAACAGAAGATAGTGAGTACGCTTTTATTGTAAAAACTACACATCCTTCCAATTGGGCCACCATGAAAGGAGGTTGAAGAATTTTGATTTTATAAGTCTTTCTTTGAAAAAAGTAGATTTTTAAAGGAACATTCTACCTCAGAAGAGGCCTAAAAATTTTGGTAACTGTAAAGTCACCGTCGACGACTATAAAGTTATACTCACTTTTTTAAAAGTGGAAGAGCAAAATAAAGCTGTTGTAAGAAAAAAGCCTAAAGTCGGGTAAAGTACACGAAGGAAGATTTTCTGCTCCCTTCCTGTTAAGAATATATGTCATAATAAATCCGGATTTAGTTAGTTATGTCAACAAATGGTTGAACTAGCTTACTTTTAGCGTAAAGGGATAAGCCCGCGGTAGCTAAAAAAACAACTACAAAGCCAGGATATACCTCACTTTCACGAGATACGCAGTATTTATATTTATCTAATATTAATTAGCAAACTTATACTTTAGAAAAAAAAAGAACATTTAGAACTTTCGACCCTCCAGAAAACTAAGAGTCTTCAAAATGCTCAGTTTAAAAGCTTGAATTTTATAATTTGTGGCCTCGTTTAAGGACTAAGTGAACCAGAAGGAAGCAAACGGAAGAAAGTTGAATTTATAAAAGCGCTATATAAGATAAATACCAAAGCCGAACGTAATTTCAAACGAGCGCGCGTTACAAAATGGACTGCAAGAGGGATAGTTGGCTCCTCTAAGGAAGGCTCCTCCCCGCCATCTTCGTCGTAAACACCTCTCTAATTTAAAAATATAGATTTATAATCTACCAAAGTGGGTTCACCTTTACTAATTATATATTAAAAAAAATAGCTTTTATTTAAACAACAAACATAAAGATTTAAGAGAGAAAGGTTAAAGTGGAATAAATCTTTTCATATTTTTAATACGAGTTACACAATTGCGATTACAACAAAAGATAGGGAAAAGTCGAAAGGAAGAGTACCATTTACGCTTCAATTAAAAAAACCCATCTACTCAGGTGATTTGGTGCTGGGCTGCGCTACCTCCTCTTAAAAAAGATGTGAGAAGTGCTTTAATATTACCTTCGTGAGGGTAGTACATATAAATCTTCAAAAGATAGCGTTTTTGTACCTGCTTTAACAATCCTTTAGCTTCAGTCTTTCTTCATAAAGGCTATTTATTTATACCTTCAACCAGTTTTATTTCTTAAGAAGAACAGGTCTTTTTTTTTCATATTCTTCTCCTTTGTCAGGACTTAATACTTTAATAAATGATCACCTGCCCTCTTAAGATGGGCTCTTCTCGAACAATGGGGCGAAAAAGCGTATATATGGAAAAACTTATAATAAACGAAACAGTGGTGCTATTGAAAACAGCTATTTATAATAACAAATGTATCCCAGGAGACAATTTGTCTCCCTAAACTCACCTTAAGGGGCAGGTGATCATATACCAAGACATCAAATCCTAACACCTTTAAAGCACATTAAAGTTGTGTACTTCGAAAAAATTTTTGAAGTTTCTTTACTATTTTTGTAGAATAGATCTTTACGTTCAACTGTCCTTATTACCTTATGTATTAAAAACTTGGGGTTTCGAGCCATTGAACCAGAGAGGTACCGATTAATAGGTGAGGTAAAACAGTAATTTTTTGAGCTTGCCTTCACTGTTTTATAGCAGTCCCGCGATCTCAGATCCTCTAATACTTCTGTCTTCTCTATTTAAAAATTTGTATTAATTATATAACAAAAGTTACCACTTGTTTTCTGTTATTTAGGGTTTATTCTGTGCAGTCCAATGTTTTGAGCCTACTTTCCTTTAAAGCAATGTGTTTTCTTGAGGGAAAACAACAAAAAAAGTTCATTCTGTTTTTATTATATAAGGTTACAAACCACCAACATCATTTATTATGCTCGATCGAGTCAACAACAGAATACTCGAGCTAGCCAGCACAGTTATTCGCCCTTTTTGTTCAAGTAAAGTTAAAATTCTGTACCACATTTGATTTAAACCTTCAACTTAGCTTTCAACGTCACAGGAGCGGCGGTATTGTGCGCTGCTTCACGACTTGTAAGTTAAGTTTTCTGCTAAAAGACGATTTCTGTTTCCAGCTGTTCCTTCGTAGAGGGCGACGGCATTACTTTTAAATATTACCGTCAGAGCCTCGATCTGTAGTAGCAGTTTATTTTGTCGCATTTGAAGCGCGAACGCTATTGTGATAAGTCGTGGTAACTCATCAGATGCTGCCATCGCATTAGTTTGTGGCGGTTCCTAATACAGAGTTTTTCGGTATTTGTTTTTCTATGTCAGGGCGCCCACCCAACCCTCCAATATCGCCAACACCTTTTTCGTAAAAAATTAATCTATGCTTGGAGAATTATTTTTTTTTTTAGTTATATTGTTTAAAGAAAAGTTGCTTAGCTTTTTTAACTTAGGTTTGTCTGTTTAAATAAGAACTGGTTTTAATAAAAAACTTGTAGAAATAAAAATATTATAATTATGTTATTGGTTTTTCATGATTCTTCTCTTAAGTGTGTAAACCAAATAACTTCTCAAATTATTCCGTGAAGTAAGTTATCATTAAAGTTAGAGAACTAGTTAGTTTTAATTGTTACCAGTTAATTATACCCTGCCACAGTAGAAAAAATAAATGCTGTAAATTTAAAATCTCACTTTAGACCAAGTTAAATGCAAACACGCATTAGTTTTAAGCAAATACAATTTCGAGTTCCTGACACTACCGTTACCAAGAATTTCTATAAAAGTACACAATTTTTAAACGGTCTTTCCCTTCTTATTTATTTTTTTAAACTTATTTTTTTTATTTTGTAGTCAAAATTGAAAGAGAAAGGTTTATGTAAAGTAAAAATTATGTTATGGCTCTTGTTAAGGTCCGAGCGTGTGTTGTATTGCTAGGCTTGTTTTTGAATTCCACTATAGTCTAATAAGAACCCTTGCACGATGTAATATTGAAGACGGGGCCCTAACCCGCGGATACCGGGCTACTAAAGAGCGGACTTCAACTTTTTCGGTCTCCCAATTCGATTTTCTTTATGAAAAAGGGTTTGCTGTTTTGCCTTCAAAGCTTTAAGTTACTATTTTTTATCTAATTAATTTCGTATGTCCAATAAATTTGAGAAATATCATGAAGTGATGTTATATGAATTGCAATCATTTAAACTGGTTGTTTTTCAGCACGTCATTTTAAAGGATGTCCATTAAATTTGGCTATGTTTCCGCATTAATTGTTCCAACTACCTTTAAGCAAAAACAACTTCTAAAGTTCCATATATCTTTGTATTGAGCAATTTAGGTGGAATTTACTGGCCTGCTAAGTGGTTTTAAAATTAATAAAAGTTTTTTCCACTGGATTACAATTTACTCATTGCTTGCGTGTTAACAGAACCAAAAATAATATTTACCGCTTACATGCGACCGGGGTAAAGTACATGTAATGTTTTTTGTTTTCACCATATTTTTTTAAAAAAGTGATGATAAATATTTAAGTTTTAAATAGTTGTAATGCTTTTTAGAAGTTTTCTTTCACTAATAATTTTTCAAAATAATGGTATTAGGAATAATCAAATTTTTGGTAGTTAATGGATGTGCCAATTCAAGAGGTTTTAAAACCGAAATTTTCTTTTGGCTGTTTGATTAAGAGACTTTTAGCTTTAATTACCGCATTATAAATGAATTGGAGCGGGACTTGTCAGATATTTTTATACGGAGCTTACGCTTTGCAGAGCTAACAGGCCTTAATAAGCTGCTTACTGCCTCAGTTGTTCTTATCTCATCTATTAATACATGGTATCGAGCAACGTCCATTTTAGCAAATATTTGTTGAATCAAGAAATATTGTAGTTAGTTTGTCAGAGATAGTAGTTAATCTTTCTTGGGATAACAGCTTAGCAAAACCTGTAAACCCCGCGATGGCCTACCACAGCTTATAAATGCACTGAATACTAATGCATAGAGTACTGTACCGGTCGCTATGACACAGGAGATACAATTTCTCTTAGATAAAGTGTTTTTGCCAGTTATAATTACTAGTAGTTTAGGAAAGGCAAATGAGCTTTGTAAACAGAGGTCTGTGTCGTCTTTTACAGAGCTTTTTCAGAAATTTTCAAGAAACAATTCCGATCTTAGTCGTAATTTTACCTTTCTAGACCAATTTGTTGCTTTCATACTAAACCAAATTATATTAATAAAGTTTACTTAAGTGTGTAACCATCGAATATTTCCTTTTTATTGCTACGCTGTCCACTCTATAATTATTTATATTTCTTCTTTAGCCTTTAGAGAGGAGGCTGACTCCGGTGTATCGCCATTTAGTTTAAGAAATATCCCTGCTATCTTTTGTGATGAAAAAACTCAAACAACTCCTATTACAGAGAACCAAATTGATACTTCGGTAAAATTAGGATTTTCTTAACAGTTTTGTAAAAAAAAAAAAAAAAGGCAACTATTATCTTTCTAGCTCGCTGAATTTGTTAAGACTGCAAGTCAAAACTTTAGTTACCGGGAGTTTCTTGATAACTTTTTTTCAGCTCATCAGAAAGTATTGGTGCTTTATTATTTGTAATATCATATTTTTTTTACTTTAAAGTACTAAATGTTTTGGTCTATTTACTAGTATTTACGTTGTCCAGAAGTTGCTACGTGGTTAGAATTGTATCAACTAAAATTTCTTAGTTTGATTAACAACAGTCTGCATGAAACTTTTTGGCAGCCTGTTGCAAGTAAGTGGAAGGGGTTTTAAAGTATCCTCCGAACAGTATTATATATTTTTTAACTTTCAAATCTAAAAATTTATTGTATGTTATACATATCTATTTTAGATTACTTTAGCTTTATGTAAGTTTCTTAATTATTTTTAAAGATTTAAAAATTGTTACAACGTTGAATGCTGACCCGGTTTCATTGCTCAAAGAGCACAACATTTCGTCTGACGGATATAATTATGTGGATAGCGAAACTGTTACTATATACTCGCTTGTTCACGATGCTTCCGTCGGGAATGATGACTTGTAACGGAATAATAAACATCTTTAAAGACAGTTAACTTTAAATGATTTATAAACCAAAAGTTTTCTGGAAAAACTCAACGAGATTAAAACAGTTTTTGAAAAATGCTATATTCTGAAGTTAAACAATTCAGTATGTTTTTAAGCTTTTGATCTCCTTGTATTAGTAAAATCTTGAAAGTTTTACTTAGAAATAAGAGGCTTTATAAATTAATTTATATATTTCGTGTAAGTTTCTTTAAAGTTTTATTTACGACTTGCAAAGGAGCAAGAAAATAGAAACGCTGATCAATTCCCTACAAAAAATCTTCAGAGTAACATAATTAGTATAAATTTTAGGGAAGTATCTACTAGACTCACGATCTTTTACGTAGAACAGTTGAGTTCCTCAGAATTGTCCAGCGTCCGTCACTTCTTACAAGATATTGTGACCAAAGAAGTAACTCCGCACATTCATAAGCGTATTGCCGAATTATCATTTGAAGTAATTGCAAACTTTAAAATAAGTTAATAGTAATTAGTACATAAAACTTTTATAGCTGGCGTCACTAAAGAAAGGTGTCGCTGGAAATATCCTCTCGACCACTCGCAAGTGGTTTACCGGAGAAAGAGAGCCAAAAACGGCCAATGAGTCAAAAGCAACACTTTCTGGGATTCAATCCGACGGGTCATTAATTGTTTCTTTACAACGTTGAGGGCTTCTTATTTGCTAAAGTAAATTTTTTTTGTCTAACTTTTGGCGGTTGACCACGTGGCAGAGAGTATCTATCCAGCGGGGGCGAACAGAAGCTGCGAAGAGCCGCCGACCTCGCCTTCCTTGTTGGGGAATATGTACTGGCGCACGAGACGTACCTCGTGGCACGGAGAGTTTTTCAGCACGACAGAGCGTACAGGCACTACGCAGGCGTCTTGGTACTCCGTGCGGGTGTTATCGTAGTTTGTGCTGTACAGCTTTTATTCGATAGGAAATGCTTGGCTTGTGCCTCTCGAAGCTCAGGTACAAAAGACAGGACTATTCCGTCTATTTCGAGAAAGCCGCCGAAGCATATGAAAAGGTTTATTTGATTTATTTATTCGTTCACTCTCACTTTGACTTTTTAATGCTGCTGCGCTTTTGTTAAATAAGTGTGGAGATCAACTACGCTCGGAAAGAGCCATTTTGTACTTGGCCGCCGTCGACAATGCGGGTGGGTTTTCTCGCGAGGCCGCAATCTGCTATATTTCTCTTACGAAAGAAGTGAGTCATGCGCGCATGCTCTTTCCCCCCCTGGGATGCATGTCTTTTTTGACTTAGAACAAAGGCCTCCGCAACGGTCCTCTTCTAGAGCTTGCAGCCCATTCCTTCCGTGGTAACCAACCAGGTTAGCCTCCCTGTTCAAACCGTCGAGCAAACAGCTAAACTATACCTCTCTTTTCCTAGCGATGATGCGTAAGTTTAGCCTCCACTTAGCTTTAGCGGGTCATCGCTACGCAAAATGTTCCGAAACGGTCCTTAAAAATTTTGAATAATACCAAATGGAATATAAAATAAAAATTTTAACGTTGCTGCTTAATAACCACCAGCGGAGGCATGCTCTCCTCTGCTACTTGAGGGCGGTAGGGGTGTATATGGGTAGGAACTGGCGCATGGCTGAAGATCATCTCTACTTTTCCTCAGCACGCCAACTTTATAACATGAACGAAGTGGAGGATGCCTTCCGACTCTTCTCACTGGCATGTCCTTCTAGAAGCTGTCCACCACTCCCCTTCTTTCTTTAATAGAACTTATTATCAAGCAGTTGCTGCGGGAGTCGTATGCTCCATCTCCACACGAATCAATGTACTTGCGCGAGTACTCACTGGCATTAAAAGTTTCTTTTATATGGCACCATCCAACTTTACAAGCACCCATTATATATAATATAATATAAATATGTGCCCAGCGTATAGCGAGCGTGGCGCCGGAGCGCATCCCACTTGTCCATGTTTTTGATGTGGATGTGGAAAACATCAACGTCTGCTCGTCTTCTCCTACGAGTGGTGGACTTGAAGCGGTCTCGCGCCTTACTAGCTTATACTTCTAATTTTTCTTGTTTACAGTTATTCATCTTTAGACTTGGGGTCGCATGGAAACTTTTATTGCCCAGCAGGATACGTGTTTTAACCGAAATCCAAACAGCGCTAAATCTCTACTTATCAAACATGGTTTTTATTGGCTAATATAAGGAGCACAAAATTATACTTTGTCACTATTGGTCCTTCAGAGCCTGTCATTTTGAACATTCCGATCAGAAATTTCTTGCAAATTCCTATAGAACTCTTCAATGTGACTTTGGAAGTTTCCTTGGCGAACGACTCTGCCGACTTTCTTCCGGGTCTGCTCATCAACTTCATTTTTATTTATTGTTACTATTTATAACTATTTTTATAGAAAGTTTCTGTGAAACCAGCACGCTGAAGAAGATCGAAATAAACGGGCGTGAAAAGGTTTTGTTAAAGATTGAGCTGACACCCCGAAAAAAAGGAACATTGAGGATTACTGGCATTCTTTTTACGCTGGCGGGGACCCGCTGCCGCTCGTTATTCAGTTTGCAAAGTAAAAAATATTACTTTTACAAAAAAAATTATTAAAAAATACAAAATCAGGCGGGTGGCACCGCCCTCGCCATTCACCCGCCAGCGAATCTAAAGAAAACATTTCACATCCCGAGTTTGTCGTCTCCTCCAAACTTCCGAATCTCCACGTGTCCCTCTCCCCTCTGCCGCCAGTTATCTGCGCAGGAGTGGTCAGAGCTACTGATATTTTATTGTTTATATTGCACTTATGTCACATTATTATTATTAACAGTAAACTTTGAGAGTATACATACAAACTTTATTTACATTTTTAAAAGATTGCTAAACTCATTCTTTTTTAAAGTTTTTATAGTAAGATACTGCGCAACTTTTTATATTTTTTTCTATAAACTTCTTGTTGTATTTAATTATATACGATTTTTTCATTAATTTAGATTCATCGCATGATTCTCAGCATCACCAACGTTGGCCACTCTCCTGTGCAAAAGCTGATCGTGCTTTCCTCCTCTTCTGCTCAATTATGTTTAGAAAAAAATACAAGTTTTCATTATTGTTAAACTTTATATTAGTTTATTATTGGTTTTTATTCCTAACAGTTTTCAAAGCTTTTGAGAGTTTTTCTGCTTACTATCTGCTTCAGGACACACAAATAATCCCCGGAGAAACCATGGAGACCCCGGTGTGGTTCAGGAGTGAAGCTCTAGGTTTCCTCTGAGCCATTAAATATAATCCTTTGCACTATTTTTGTTTTTAGGTGAGCAGGACACGTACCTTCTCTTTTCTTATGAGACTGACACAACTCCGTCTTCTATTAAAAGGAGGTTAGAGCCAATAAAATATTAATACATAAAAGTAATGCTTATATGCTTAAGCAAACTCGAGATGTTTACACGCAGATTGTTATTTTGTATCCATAATAGTAGTAAACGTATCTAATTACTAAAAAGGTTCAAGAGAATTCACTTCTCGACCAATGTCCATCCTTTACTCAGTGCTTCGGCCAGAATACTGGCTTGTCAGGAAAATGTCCAATCCTTTTTATTTAATTTAGATGCCTGCACTTTTCCTTACGCCCTGACGCCAGCAGGCCAGCGACCTCCTCCTGCTTATGCACGTAGAAAATACGCTCCACAACACCACGACTGCCTGCATGCAACTTGCTTGCTATTCGCGGGGGTGGTGCATTGAGCCTTTGTCCTCTTCTGTAAGCAATGGCACGTGTTCTCTCACGTGTTTATAAAGCCAGCAGTTTAAAGCTTTTTGCAGAAAGAAAGATGGTTGGCCCCATGGAAACACTAAAACTTTTAGCCCGCTTGCGAAGGACGGAAGATAGGCAGGAGCCCAATTATTCGAGCATGGATTGGACGGCCACTTTGCCTTCCTACACGCCCACTAGCTTCGGCGTTTCAATCAGCCAAATGATGTCTGGTACAGGCATCCCTTACTCGTGGTGTTTACTTGCTATCTTTGCAGTAAAGGCACTGATTTGCCCATTTGCCACTTTGTGAAAAGATCATTTGCTGCAGCTCGCGATAGCATGACCAGTGATGGCTACAATCACGTATATATGCTGCCGTTGGCACCGAGGAGAGACCTATTCTAACGTCCAATAGGATTCTTTAGAGGGAGCCCTGAAGGCGGGGGAGGATCATTTCTTTTTACTCGTGCTTTCTTTTGAGGTGGAATTCTCCAGTGCAACGTTCGGTTCCTCCACTGCACATGGTCAACTTTACATTACGTGTCTTTCTCCATGTCAGAGGTTCTCTTTTGCACAGCTGCATATCCCATTTGTTTATCGCTTAAGCAGCAGTAGCTTGTTTTCCGGTGGTGAAACTACCATAAGAGTGCTGGACTCGCCAGTGAAGGTTTCTTTACTGCACGCGGACTCGTGCTCTCACGATTTCCGCCTCAGCAGGTTTTATTTTTATACCATAAATGTTCGCCTTCGTGTTTACAAGTGTTAGCACATGCGAGTTTCCGGTGACGGCAGTGTTACTGAACACCTCCTCGCAGGAAGTAGAGGTCTTTGCATATACTGGATTGGTCATTTCTCCTCCCTTGAGATGCCTTCATAGGTCGGATTGCATTTCAAGCAGCCCTCCGACGGCGATTTCTATTGGCTAGGGAAGAGTCGCGCGGCGGTGAGTCTCTCTCCGCACGAGCAGAAGGAGATCCACATGAAAGCCTTGTTTCCGGCGCCTGGTGCATATGATCTCTCGCGTTATTCGGCCATAATACGCCACAGGCAGACCCACGAGGAATACCACGTGGTCCCGGAGGGATGCCAAATGTTTTCTGTTTACGAAGATCAAAGCACCATGGCTATATAAAGACAAAACCAAAACAACTTGTGAATGCTTTTACTAATATTACTATACAATGCTGACTGGCAGCTACCACGTCACTTCCAAGCTGATTGGCCGCCAGCTCCAATCTCGTGTTGCCCGGAATTAAATACTTCGGCGGTGTTTACTAGCTTGCTTGAGCTTCGAAGGGACTTCGAGGATTGGTTCCTGATTACACCGAGCAGTCCACTTCGAAGACTTTCACGCGTCTCATTTGTCACGTGTTCTTCGCTAGTATGGCTTATAGGGGCGCACTTTGCATCGTCTATCTGCCTTTCTAGTTCCGTTTCGACCTTTTTTTGAGCCGTTTTAGAATATGAATGATCTTGCTTGCTGCTTTGTTGAGGCTTCAGTCGCTTCTTTCGTTCTTTACGCTAAAAAAAAATTTCTACTTTTTGCTAAGTCGAACTTTCACGTGGCGTGTAACCTCCTTTTTTTCACGCATTTTTCTTTTTTTTCGAATTCGCTCCAGTTTTTTTCCAGTGAATCTTTTATCGTCCAGAATTTCCAAAGACGGAATTAGTAATTTGACCTAAGAGAATATTCAAAAAAAGTTAATAAAAAGTTTCCAAGGCTACAGATTTTAAAAAAACTGTGCGAAAATAATAGTTAAAATTAATAATTTGTTCCTCTGAGAATGCGAAAAAACGAAAGAAGGATTATTGGAAACATTTTAAATTCTAATTTTTATAAGCAATCTAACTATACAATACTAAAACTCGATTTTAAACTAAGTTGAGTACTTGAGGAAATTAAAAAAAATTTACAAAAAGGAAATTAATTTAGCCAACATTAATAAATATTTGATAAGATTAAATCTATAAATTAAAGATTACGGCTTAACTAAAAATAATTATTATTATTAATTATTAAACTTTTAGGAAAATTTGACTAACCATTTAAAGTATTTAATATATATTATTTTAAATTTTAAAATTTCTCTGTCAAAAGTAAAATGCTTGAATGATTTATAAATTTAAGAATCTAAAATTAGATTTAAAAATTAAAAAAATTTATACAATTACTACTTCGTAGATTAATGAAAAAGATGCAATCAAATTTTATTAGAAAAAAAATAAATTATAATAAAACTTTTTCTCTATAATCTTCACAGTTGCAAAGTTTGTTTCCTTTAAGTGTTAATGATTTTAAATTTGGGAGTCCCGCCAGCGCTTCAATATCACTAATAGATCCATAATTATTAATTTGAAATAGAAATTGTATACAAAAATATATAAAAATGGCTTAAGTTATTTTTAATATAAAGATTAAAAGATTCGCCTTAAATTTAGCAAAAAAAGATTAAAAAACGTGCATTTGTTTTAACGCCAAATTATTAAAAAGTAGTCATTAAACTGATATAGAAAACTTATTAAAAATTAAATAAATAAACTTAATTTAAAAAAAATTATAACTAAGAAATAAGATTAGTATTTTGTTGAGATTAGTCCTACTTAATAAATAAAGAAAATTTAATAAAACAGTTATATGTAGAAAATAGAATTATTACTACATAAATTTAATTAAAAAAGCTTTATAAAACCGAATCTAAATCAGAAAATCTTTTATAATAAAGATTTACGTGAATGAATGAAGACGATTGTTCCCAAGATCAATAATTTTCAGCCTACAAGTCAGTATATAATTATTCTTAAGTATAAGTAAAAATAAAAAAATTTAAATTAATAAATGTTAAGCGCTATCGAAAAAGTAAAAAGTTCAAGTACAAAAGATTGAAAAGAAAAAAAAACTTTGTTCCTACATAAATTAATATAATAAACAAATTACTTTTATATATAAAATTTAAATATTTAAGGGATTTCATCTCGAGATTAAAAAAAATTATAAACTTACACTTTTTATTTTTTTAAAATTTAATTACTTCAATTACAACTTTTTATATAGAATAAAAAAAAAATAGAAAAGAACGTTATATTTTGTCTTATTGTTTCAGGAACTTTCAGGATGAGATTATTACTTAGTCTCAGTTCAGTCAAACTTTCAATATCCTTTAAAACTGGTATTTCGCGTATTTTGTTATGTGCAGCAGAGATTTTCGTTAGCTTCCGCAGAGTGCAGACAGAAGAAATGTTTTCAACAGAATTATAAGAAAAAACTGAACGTCGAAATTGAGTCAAATCGGCTGCGGGAAAAATTATAAACTTATTATAATACCGAAAGTGTTTAATAACGGAAGTTGAAGAGGAGGAATTCCATTAATCGCGGTGTTACTTGCTATTAACGCCTTTAAATTTTTCAATCCGTTGACTTGCCGAAGTGTTCTTATGTCATTTTTACTCACATTTAGGACTTGAGGAAAAGAAAAGGTAAATTAGTAGAGATTTTCTTTGTTCATTAAAAAGTTTATAAACTAAACCTGAAAGTGTTGAAAGAGATTCTAGCCCATAAAGAGTAGTCAAGCAATTATTTGATAAATTTAAAGTGGACAAAGAGGGACAGTGCCTTAGAAATTCAAGATCATCTATCTCATTGTTAGACAAATCCAGCTGCCGAAGTTCAATACAAAAGCTTTATTATTAATAAATAAATAAAAAATAATTTAAAAATATAAAGAGTAACACCAAAAAACCTTAAATCTTCAAGTTTATCAATACCTTTACCAGATAAGTTTAATTTCTTAATTTCTCTCAGGTCCCCTTCGATAAACTCCGAAATCTTTGCAAGAGTAAATTTCATTACTTCGAGTTTTTTTAAAAAAACTGATATATTTACTTAATATATAAGTGTCTTACTAGGGTTAGAAGCGCTTTCGGAGCCTTGACTATTTCAAGGTCTCTAGTTTTTAGTACAAACCTCCACTTGTTCCCTTATAAACCTGTCAAGCTCCCCCGGATGGCCCTGCAAGTACTTGAATAATGAAACTTTTTCAAGATTTACAAGAGCATATAATAAATAAATGAGAAACTAAATTTTAACTTTACTTTTTTAATAATTCCATTTACATTATGCAGTTATTCGTTTTTAACAAGTTGGGTGGAGCTAGAATGAAGATTAGGATTAAGTCTAAGTTCCCTCCACATACAATAGGTGAGAAATCAAGGTTCAAAAATAAATTTTTTCTTCTTCTTTTTACGGCCTCATATAGAAAATTACTAACAAGCGGTTTATTGATGTAGCTTACCGTCTTCGTTAACATAAAATAATCCTTTTATTAAGACAAAAATTTTAAGAGGGGAAAAAGTTTTTGAAGCTTAATTATGACTTATATCTCTTTGCCTGTCTTTACGGTATTTTAAGCGGTAACTATTAAGAAGTACTTCGTCAACTCTTTAAAACAAAAATTTTCGATTTATACGTTTGAAATTAGGGTTCTTTATAATAATTTTTTTATATAAAGTTATACAGAATAACATTGCGTAAATATAATTTTACTATGCACTAACCTTTTTTGAAAAAAAAATTTTAAATGTTCGAGCTAAAAACATTTTTAATGTTTAAATACATTGCCTAGTTTAAAAATTTTATTATGCCTTCAGTTTATAAAAAACCTTTGACCATACTTATAAAATTATTAAAAACATAATATCTTGCAGGGCTCACTAGCAAGTAAAGAACAAAATAAAAGAAAGCCTTTTTAGTACATCTTATGTGCCTGTATTTATGTTACTACAATAAATTTAGAAAAGTTTTAGCTTTTTAATGATTATTGCCCAATTTATACATTAAAATGTTAATCAAAAAGAGTTCCAGTACTGTATCTAAACAGTTTGTGTGGTAAGGGCCTTTATAACTTGACTTTACGCTAGTGACATAGGCCTTGAGTAAGTCTCAGTTACCTAAAATAATATAAACCATACTTAAATTTGTCCCATATTCATACAGTTTTCCTAAAATAAATCTCTAATACTATCATTTGTTGACATATACACACTAAGCGTTAATTCTTTCGCCTATGTATTAGGCTCTCTTTTTACTTTAAATTTCATACTTTTTAAGGATTCGGTGAATATAGCTGGTCAAATACGTCAACTATTTATTCCGGTAGTAGTTGCCCCCGTAACCACTTTTTAAAATAACCACGTGAGGATTTTTTCTTTTTCAGGGCCTCTTGCAAGTCAGCACTCATACTTAAACTTGTGTTTCTCTTTCTAGTCGAATAATTCTTCGAATTTATTAGTAAAGTTGTATTGTCCCCAGAGGTTCTGTTTGGTTTTAGCTTCTTAGCCTGATATTTGTATCAGTTATTATTAACGTAAATAAAGTTTCACTTTGATAATTTATCAATAATATCATTCTATGAGTGTTGTCAGTGCCCTTTTCCTTTTAAAAAGTAACTTTATTTTATCGGTTCGATACAGTATCCGCCGTAACTAAGCAAGAGCATTGATGTGGAAACTCAAGATCCTGCGTTTTAATATTTTAGCTAAATTTTTCCGCCTGT